AAGACTTTTTGAAATGTTCCAGAAGAATAATTGCAGAATATGTGAAACCAGGAGTGACTTGCCCCCTGACTTGTAGTCACAAGATCATATCCTGTTGTAGAAAGGCTGGATTTGGTAAAACTGAAATAACAACAGGTCACCTTCAAATACTGTTAGATCACAGAAGAAAATAACAACATGGGACCATTAATCAGTGTAAAAACAAACCAACAAACAAACCAAAAACCACACACACAAAACCAAAACCAGTACACAATATAATAATAATAAGAAACATCTATATAAATATTGGCTTAAATCCATTCTTCACTAGTACTTCATTAGTATTTTTCACTGGACTTCGTAAGTCCATTCTTCAATAGTAAATACCCCTGAAGTGTGTGGCATCAGCCATTTCCTTAATTGATGACTGCATTCAACAGAATGTCCTTTGGTTATAAAGCAGTGAGTGCTCAGACTTTATTCTGCTTTGTACTTCTCCATTTTAATAAAGTATGCCTGTGCATACATATGCATTCACACATAGCCACTAAGATGGGGTGGGAGGGAGTTGCCATATTTAAGAGGATTCCAGCTTGTTCAGGATGAGCCAGCGGGCTGGTACATGCTGCCTAGTTGCTCCTGCTTGCAATTATGTAAATCTTGGCGTTTGGGACATTATTTGTCTTTAAGATGAATTACTGTAGTTGTATTACTCATTACTTGGGTGAGTTGGATTCACATTACCAGGATTGCTGCTCTACTGAGAACACCAATTCATTGTGTTGTGCATTAAAAGGTCATTATATCCTTACCAGCATCATAGTAAAATACAAGGAACTATTCTGTGCTTCCCTTTACTGGTTACTTCTGATACTGCAGCTTGAAAAATATTTTTTAAACCACAAAAGACACAATAATATGATAATTCTCTTGCCAATTAGAACTGACAAGTGAATGTCATGGAATGTGACAGTTTCTGTCAAAATGTCCTTAAACTGCCTTAAAGTGCCTTTTAAAGGCAGCTTTTGATTGTAACTAGAAAATGTTCTTTTCTTTGTCAAAAAGCAACTTTGTAAGTACTTACTGCATTACTTTTGAAATGTAAGCTACCTACAGTATATATTTGTTAGCGGACAAAAGACTTGATATAAGCACTGCTACAAGTAGTTATTTAGGATTTCAGAAGAGGTAGCCATGTTAGTCTGTGCTAGTGAATCAGCACAGAAAGCAAAATAAATCAAAGAAAAAGAAAAAATAAAGACAAAAACATTGTGGGGCCTTAAATACTAATTGCTGCATTTTAATGTGAGCTCATTATTTCCAAACTCTGCCTTTGGTACATATTTTGTTTTGAGGTACAATGACAAACGTCTGCCAGGCCCCTTCCCTCCTAATATTCCAAAGGCAGGTAAAAACGTTGTTCCTTAGAGAACCTTTACAGGATTTTCTTTTCTCATAGTTGTTGCTAGTTGCGGTGTACTTTGATTGGGGAAGTGGGGGTTCATCCTTGTCATTTAGGGGTTGTTGTTTTTTTATTTTTGGGAGTGGAGTGAAAGGTTAGGTTCTCACATGCTTCATGTATGTAAACTGCCGTAAGTAATGGCTTGTCACTAGATGGCCTGTAGAATTGAATAGAACAGAACAGAACAGAATAGAATAGACAAATAGTCTGGCCCAGCTGAGAGGAAAACAGGTCATAAAATTGGCCCTTAATGAGTTGCAGCTCACAATAAACAAATCACGAATCAAAAAGTTTGCATTTTGCCTAGTGGTTCTTCCTGCTGACAGGTGCAGTTGGGCAATTTGGGTAAGCATATTACTAGCCCATGGTAACGCAGGATTCCCACAGATCTTTGGTTGACTGTCACATGAAAACCAGGCTACATCTGTAAAAGGAAGGAGGCGGAGAACAATGCCAGGGTGACAGTGCTCAGTAACAGAAGAATTGCCATTTGTAGCACCTTGGCACTATTACAGTAATATTTTTTTAAAAAAAATGAAAGTCAAAATTTGTCAACGTTGAAGGTATTTTCAAAGACATGTCCTTACTTTAGCTTTAATGATTTGTCACTGGAGGAAGTGAAAATATATCACTAGAAGTGGTAGTTTGAAATTGGGGGGCAAAAGCTATTTTGACATGTACAAGCATGTTGTACGTCTCACCAACATCAGCTTATTCATTTCTACATTTCAAACGGTTCATTCTGTCAGTTTTGTTCCAATTTAGTACTGAAAATTTAATATTGAAAACTACTTTGCAATGGTCAAAATACCAGGGAACTTGACATTTCTGATTTTTGTCCATTTCCAAGCACATTTGCCGGGAGACACATTTTTTCTTTAACTTGGTTACATTTACTGTAGGAAACCCACCTCAGTTTGTTATTAATGATATATATGCAGTGTTTTTAATGTACAAAGAGCTATACAATTTTCATCATAGCTTTCTGTTATAGCAATTTCAAGTACTGTTTTGCATTCATTCATAGATCAGTTAGAATAAGAACTGGCTAGGATGAAATCAGCTGCTTCATCTTCCCTCCATTCCTATGGCAGTAACTCAGGTGAAGGCGACTCTGAGGAACTGTCATTTTTCCAAGGCTCCCTGTCTTTTAACCATGAGAAAATGAACTGGTTATGAGCACTAGAGGGCACAGAGAAGGATTTTGGAGACCAGATGTTTGGGGTTTGGGATGAGGAGATAATAATCTGAACCAGAGGAAAACATTGAGAATCATAATGGTTGTATGATTATTACAGTATTTACAAGTCATCATCGTTTATATTCTGAGCAAAAAAAGGTCTGAATTTTGGCATCATCTCCACATCTGTCTTCCAAGGAGCCCTTAAACTCTATGTGCTATTCCATGCCCAGTAAAGCTTTCAAATAAGAGATTAAATCTCACCCACTAATGATATTTCAAATTGATCATTTAGCTTCAAAACAATCAAGTGAAATATACAGCACTTAAGGAGACAAAAGACCAGCTTACGTGCCAGAGATTTGCCTGAATAAAAACATATTTTTCTGCCTGTGGCGGGCCAACAGAGAGAGAACTAACCTGGTTTCCTCAGCAGGGAGTTCTAGAATTTCAGAACAGCCAGTGAGAAGGTCCTTTTGCCAATACAGCAGTGGGCTTTAAAAAAAAGTGTTAAAACCCAGGGAGGTTTCTGAGGGAGAAAAATAATTTGACCTATGAGATAGTCTGGCCCTCAATTGTAAAGGCTATGCAACCCCAACCCCACTATCACTTTCTCTTGAGGGAATGTAGTTTCAGCTTTAAAAAGGTCCCCTGTCCATGAAAAGTAAGTGTTATGGTATTGAATATACAGTATCTCTATTCTTTACTGTTTAATATCTTCTCAAGACCTCTGGCTGCTACAGTGTGACATCTTGCCCACTGTGTCCCATTCCCTAAAGACTGGAGTTTCAATTGCATCAGGGTTTCGTGAAATTCCAGAAATACCTACCATGCCGTATTGAGAAGGGGGGAAATGCTGCTCTTCGAACAGATTTGAGCCTTGCTTTTAAAAAACTAAAACAAATGTACTTAGGCCTGCCTAGCCCGTAAGAGAGCTCAAGCCATAAGCTTGAAAGAAGGATAGAAAAGATGGAGCAAGTCGCATGGCTTGATTTCTCTCGGTGTCCCACTGGATTGAGTTCATAAAGGAAAAAGCAGGAGTTCTGGAAGGGACTGAAAAAGGGTAGATGTTCTACTGAGCCCTGAGACAAAGAGGGCAACTGAATGAAAACAACATGCTTTTCATAAGCCTGTGGAGGCTGTGTGTCCTGCTGCGTTGTCTGTACCATCACTGCCTGAAAACGTTAGTGCTGGATGCTGATCAGCAACACTGGTTATTTGGAGAGATGTTGCTGGCTTGGCAGAAGCAAAGGCACAGTAATCTGTGCAGTTATGCGCAGCTTTTGTCTGTTGTCTCTTTAAGCTTAGATAATAATGCACAGCATGGGGTCAGCCCCAGGACTCTAAATCGGGGCTTAGCAATTAGGGAGTGTTTGCTTTTGAGTTCCAATATTTGCGTAGGTCGTTTTTCTTGGGGATCAGAGTCAGGTGCTGTGTACTGAAAAGCTGTAGGCTTTGATATCGACTAGGCCGAGGGAACTTGTGTAGAGAACATTTACCTTTCCAGACATCATGAGGCAGAAGTTCCCAACAGCTGCACAGCCCAGTGGTGAAGATAGATAGGGATAACATTTCAACAGTATCCGGAGGACACTGGATTACGAAATAATGTTCTATATCACTACCAGATAGGAGAAGTGAGGGAGGCCATGAACATCTGTGGTTAAACAGGAATTTAGTGGTGTTGGATAAGTGTAACTAGAGAGCTAGGAGCATCATCTCTGTTTGCAATATGCTTTCTGTTTGGGTGCCACAAAATACAAATGTTTAGCAGAAATTTGGTTATAAACATGAGATAAGCCTTGCCCCCTCTGCCATTAGTGTGGCTTAGCAACATTGTCACTGCAAATACGCATCTCTGATCCCCACTGAAATTTAGCCTGCAAGATGCCTGCTTCTATTTTTCAGTCTGCTCTACAGACAAATAATGAACACAGGTTGGCTTTTTGTATGAAACAGTTGGTTTTAGAGAACCTGTATCCATGTTGCATTTCTTCTGCTACATGTTTAAAGGAGGCTGCATCTTTTAAATCAGATACAGACCCTGCTCCTGTTTTTTTGTTTGTTTGTTTGTTTGTTTGGCTCAAAAATGCCTATTAGGCAACCTGGTCTTTTGACAAGTTGTTTACCACAAAGATTTCTTTTTCCCAGTACCTTCTTAGCAGGGTCAGATGTTTCAAATTGGCCTGAAAGGCATATTCAGTGATCACATTGAAACCTTTCTGCAGCGAAGCCATGATGTGCCGTTACCTCTGTGTGAGGCATTCCCAAGTGGCATGTAGGTCCTTGCAGGTTCAAGGAAGAAATTGTTTCAGTAGTCAGGATTGCACATTTAATCCCCTCCTCCTTCCTCTCATCTTACCTTTACAAATACAGAATAATTAGTAACCATGACGACAGAGACAGGCCCAGATTCGGAAGTGAAGAATGCCCAAGAGGAAACTGTACAGCAGCAGCCAGAGGCGGCAGCAAGCGGGCTGAACACTGTGACCAGTAGCTCTACGCCCACGGCAAACAACCAGGAAGCTGAGGCGAACGAGAAACCAGGAGCCCACAGTGACTCTAAACATGCAGAGCGGGTGAGTTGAGCTGGCTACCAAGAAGGCTACCAAGAAGGCTGTTGCTAGAGGGTCAAATTAGACAAAAAGGGGAATGAGTATTTCCTCTGTTTCACCTCCTACTGTGGGATTTCCTCAGAAATGTGCACGTTGGCAGTCAGACTTGCAAATAAAGTTTGTGTTATCTTCCTGTGACCATCCACAAAACAGATCAGAGCGAATAGAAGATAAGTCAGCAATCATGTGCTATAATAGAACTCTTCCATGGCTTGTGGAGCACCAGTAATAAATATGTGCTAAGCCTATCATCTAGTCTGAGACATTAGCAAAGTAATAAAGATGACAATATTTTTTAGCACATGCAAAAATAAGTTTGAGTCCTGTGCAACTTCAGTTTTCACTGGTCATAGCCAAACCACTCAAATAACAATTATTGTTATGTAGAACACAGATGGACAACTATGGCAGATCTGGGTGCCATGTTTCTGCTCCTGGATCTTCTATGTCATGGACAAAAAGCAAATATAGCTAAATAGGTAAACTAACTAACTAACTAACTAACTAACTAACTAACTAACTAACTAACTAACTAACTAACTAACTAACTAACTAACTAACTAACTAACTAACTAACTAACTAACTAAAAACAGCTAGATGAAAAAGAAAGAAAAGCTCAACCAATTAATTAAAGATAGTTAGAACCCCACTTCTGGCCATCTTCCTTAGCAAGAATTTCCATGACCCTTCTGTCTCCATTCTTCACATGGAGAGTGATATGTCTGCAGAGGAAAGGTTCTATCCATCCCTTAGCTCTCTGTGAAAATAAGAACCACATTGTTCCAAGGTTCTTGCTCATGTGGAGACCCTCTGTGTGAGCTACTCTACAGACACATCAATCTCCGCATGAAGACAGCATCAACGGTGAGGAGGAGGTAAGAAGTTTCCTTCAAAACATGTTGAAGAGAACCTGGTAAATAACAACAGCATATGGTTTCTGTGTGACAAACAGGTATATGTTCAACTCAACTTGGGGGAACTCAAATGAAATCAGCATACAAGGACATGGCAAATGGGGTCAAAATAATGATGGTGCCTTGATTTATTTCTATAGTGAAGGCCTACAGTCAACTGTCCACATTTCTAACACTTGAGGGAACGTTTCATGTGTTGGATAGTAGAGACTCTAGACACACTCAAATGTTGACCTCTTTCATGTTCAGGTTGTTCCTATGTTTGAATAGTATTTGTATCCTTGTTTTCAACAAAGTTTCTAATTGTCTAATGGCATAAGTGACTAAAATTCGTGGTTCTGCCCCACAGTTTGTCCCATCTGCAGCTTGGCATTCTAGTTAAGCTAAAATGTCCCAGTCTAACAGTTCTTGTCCAAGTAGGACTAGAAAAAAATCCTTCCTGAAACCCTGGTGAGCTGCTACCAATGAGAGTTGACAATGCAAGGGTAGATTTCCCAGTGGTTTGATTCAGCATAAGGCAATTCCCTGTTTTCCTATCCTTTCTAATGCCTATTTGAAATGCAGTCAGGAAGAGGACTGTATCCTTCAAGCTCCAGTAAATCCAGGCCCTCCAAGAAAGAGGAGGAGACATTTACCCAAATAAGCCCACGAACCATGATAATCAGCATCAGAACAGACATGTGCAGTGGGAAGGTTTCAGTTTGTTTTTCATTTCACATCACTGATCGGCCTGCGGCATTGTCTTGTTCCTGCTTAGAAAAACACATGAGACCATATGGAAATCTCACAGTGACGGAGGATCAATATCTTGTTTCATCAAGGTTATATTTTTGACCTTGCCCATCTGCCAGACAGAGACTTATTTCTCCCTTAAAGTTCACATGTACGCATGTTTCCTAAACTACAGTGGTGTCTCGCTTAACGGCGATAATACGTTCCAGGAAAATTGCCGTTAAGCGAAAACATCGTAAAGAGAAAATTAAAAGCCCATTGAAACACATTGAAAACCTTTCGGTGTGTTCCAATGGGCTTAAAACTCACCGTCCAGCGAAGATCCTCCATACAGCGGCCATTTTCTCTGCCTGTATAGTGAGGAATCCATCCCTAAACACAGCGGGGAGCCATTTTAGTTACCCGGCGGCCATTTTGAAACCGCCGATCAGCTGTTTAAAAATCATCGTTTTGTGAAGAATCGGTTCCCAAAGCGAAATTCCCCCATTTAGACCATCATTTTGCGATCACGGATTTGTTGTATTGCGGGGCAATCGTAAAGCAAGGCACCACTGTATAGTGAAGTAGCAAGCATGGTTGGATGGCATGATATTCCAACATTATTCCAAGCTTCAAAGTCATTGGCTTCTCCTTGTATTTAGGAAAGTTTACTTAGTGGGTGAAGAAAGCATCCTTGCATCTCGTTCAGTCCTCCAGATTTGGAGAAGTGTAGACAAATAGCAATCATACAAGTAGAATGGGCAGTAGATGTTGCATAATTTTTTGCAAGGGAAAAAAAAAGATGGTAGTCCAGACTCTTGGCATGGGAGAAGCTAACTAGGGAGGACAAAGGTGAAGAAAAAAAACAAATTATATTATCCTAGCAATGGCGAAGAAAGATGTTAATGTCTAGAAACAGTGTGAACTGGATCAAGAAAGAGATAAACAATCTTTATTACTCTGTAGCACCATATTATCTGCTGGAAGCTATGTCCATCTCATATTGGCCAGCTTAGAATAACTGCTTTTGGCCAGCTGAGAGTTTTTTCATTTGATATAATACATAGCAGCAATTTGACTAGCTGAGAAAATGCGCTAAAAACTTCTTGCTGTAGCCCAGAGGTGACTGAACAGCTGTTGTTGGTCAAGGCATACATCTGTCTGAGTCACTTAGCACTACCCTTCCAAGTGTCCATGAAATTAAGTTGTACTGAAGTCAGCAAAATGAACTTTCGAATAAATGTTTAGTGTTAAAAAGGCATAAGGCAGGAACAGGTGAGCAACTCTGAAGTGTTACTGCAATGTCATAATTTTCCTTTAGTCTTTTTTGAAATCTTGTTCCAAAATGCCATTTCTACTGTGTCAGGTCCTTTATGTTTGTTTGTTTAAATTTTCAGCCCTTGTTTGTTTAAATTTTTGGCCTGCCAATCTAGTAGCCAGATGACTACTCTGGGCGACTTGAAATATCACAAGATAGATATAAAATAAAACTACAATAATTAAAATCAAATGAGGAAAAAACCAAATCTCTCTCTATTAAAAAAACTAATACAAAAGATAGAAAAGACAGTTATTCCAAAATTAATATAATATCTATAATCAGAATCACAATTAATCTGGGGTAAGGCTGTGGCCTACATCCCAGCATGAATTAGGGATTCTAATCTCGTAATGTCCCATTCTTTGTGAGGAAAGTAGGATTTTTCCTCTTCTTCCTTCTCTTTCTCCTCCCAGGAACAAATTACAGTCTACATTTTAAAAAAAAATTCTCACAGGATTTCCCACAGATTCCTGTAGTTTTTTGCCAGGAAATAAAAACATGCACAAAATTCAAGTCTCTCTTTTGCTAAATATCCTATTTCAGGGACAAGACTCCAGTCTGATACTTTGTGCCAAATGAGGATTACCTAGTACAAAATAATAGTATCTGTGGAAAAACAGAAAGTATTTCTGTTATTAAGACAGTAAAAGTCTGTTATTTTTACTTGGATTGAAATGGCTTTTGATTAACAATAGACATCTGTATACAGTAATAAGGACGTTCTGCACCAATAGTGGCAAATCCTACCAAGGTTTTCACCAAAGTATCATTCGGTGGTAGGTTTAATAGAAAGATTCTGCTTATTCTTGTGTACACAAAAGGAATATTATCTTATGAAGGATTCATTTATGACTTACAAATTTTAGATAATGGCATGTTTGAAGTCTCTTGTGAAATCGATTTTTGGCATTTCTGCTAAATTCTACCAAATTCCCAAAGGAAATGTCACTTAAAGGTAGGAATAATATCTGACTGCAGAGCCAGAGAATGGGAGTTTGACACACACACACCCACTGTGCCTCCTGGGAGTACAGCCAGCCTGTATGACATTGGGGAAGTTGCACAGTTCTAGAATGCCCCCCCCAAAAGGAATGATAAACCACTTCTGAGTACTCTCAGCCTAGGAAACTGTGAAAAGGGGCACCATAAGTCAGAATTGTCATGACAGCACATCATGATGATGATGACAATGATAGACATATCTACTGATTCCTGTGTTTCAATAAAAAAGAACTCTGTCCTATGCAGGATGTTCTTCTTTCTTGGGGGATCTAGAAAATCATGTTTGAAAGTCCCACTGTTGTTGTTGTTGGTGGTGGTGGTGGTAGCAGCAGCAGCAACAGCACAGCAGTAGTATTGCAAAACATTCCTCCCTGTTTCTCATAGATTGCCCCCAGTGCTTCACAACAATTCTGTAGACTTTGTAGAAGAATTATTTGATTCATCATCATCATTTATTTTTATGAGTTCTGAACAGAAACAATGGCTGAAATCCTGTTGCGCAGTTCAGCAAACTGCTTAACTTTTACAGGTGAATTAATGTAAGTCAAGAAAGCTCCATAGACCTTACTTATTGCATGCTGAGTTGTGCCAGCTCAGTATACAACAGATAATGTCTGTGAATATTTCTTAACCTACAGCAATTCATTTCCAAATGTCACATTGTTTAACTGTGCAACAGGATTTCAGCCATAGTGAGAAAGAGACAGAGGTCTCTTGTGACAGTGAAATTCATGTGTCCTCTTCAAGATCTGAAATCCTGTTGCACAAAGTATCAGAGGGATGTGGTGGCACTGTGGGCTAAACCGCAGAAGCCTGTGCTGCAGGGTCGGAAGACCAGCAGTCGTAAGATCGAATCCACGCGATGGAGTGAGTGCCCGTTGCTTATCCCAGCTCCTGCCAACCTAGCAGTTCGAAAGCATGCAAATGCAAGTAGATAAACAGGGACCACCTAGGTGGGAAGGTAACAGTGCTCCGTGTCTAAGTCGCACTGGCCATGTGACCACAGAAGATTGTC